AAAGAATCAGAATAAGAATAAGAGAATTCCAACCACCATTTTATTCACTGCAAGTTTTCTACTAGAATTTGGTCACATTACCTACAAATCTAAATACATGTTTCAGTTAAGACTCCTTTATAGGTGCTGATAAATCGGAACATTGGAAGCCCAAGAGCATGGCTGAGCATTAATCTTTCACTTAGGCTCAGTTTGGAAGGAGTACAAATTTGTATTTGTACAAAATATTAGGTTTTGTGCTTTACATATTTGTATTTGTACTCTTTCCAAATGGAGCCTTAAGGATGATTGTTTATCTTCTTCCTTTTCAAATGTTGACTTTTTGGGAGGCTCTTGGGGGTGTTTATATATGTACAGAATCTTTTTGTACAATTGAACGAACGCACATGCATTTTTTTAACTGTATCAATACAATTTTACCTTATCTTTTCAAAAAAATAATAAAAGTGCATGACCATTTATTTGATCGCATGCACGACAGCGCACCTCTAAGCCCGAATTGAAACAAAAGAAAGAAGAAAGAAAGAAAAGAGAAGAGCAACTCTAAGCTAGTTTGGAATATCTATATCTATACTAGTATTAAAAGTGTGAATGAGGTCTAGATTTTAGATTTTTTTTTTATTAAAATACCCTTATTCTTTGAAGTTGGTATTATGAGAGCAAAAAAAATATTTTGAACTATTACTTTTATTAAATTCATTATATTCCCCATCATTAAGTCTTATTCCGATTCTAACTGTTTGGTTGGATGGAATCGGAATCCCATTCTCATTGCTGCTAGAATGGCATTCGCCCATTTGAGGGAATGGCCATTCCCTGCCCCTCCCTAGGGAATGAAATCTCATTCCTACTGATTTCAATTCCCATTCCAATTCCTGTTTGAACCAAACAGACTATGGGAATGGGCCATTCCAATTCCGATTCCAATGGATTTCGATTCCGATTCTGACTGCGAACCAAATGAACCCTAAGTCTCATTTCTTTTCATTAAATCTTACTTTTAAGGCGCATTAAATAAATGAGTTTTGTGGGCTTTTCTTGACTAAAATGCCCCTATTTATGAATTTAATCCCTCTGTACTTATGTAGGTAAAAAATGTAAGTTAAGCTAATATTACTTTCCACTTCATTAAATTTCCTCTTATTAAGGTATTAACTCTTATTCTCTCTCCTTAGATACTTTATTTAAAGTAATTTTGTTTTTCACCAAAAAAAATTCCACAAAGTAATATCTAATATATTTAACAATATAAAACCTATGTTCAAAACTAACATGAAAAATAATTAAATAAACTACATTTTTGTCTGAGTGGCAAGAAAATAGTTCAACCATTGGCGTCAAATGGTTCAACCAATATTCTCATAGTTAAATAATAAAAATTAAAAAATAAATATAAATATAAAATATTACAAAATTATAAAAAAAAATTAGGCACATTTCTAATATTATCTATTTATCATATTGAACAACATTAAGCATGCTAAATAAAAGTATTTTTAGTCGGTGGAAATTAAATACAAGATTTAAAACTAACCCAAAAACAAAACCATTTTCCTATTCAAGTGGTGGGTCAATGATTCAACCTTTTATGTCAAATGGATCGATTCATGATATCATAAATAAATAATAAAAAATTAAAAACGATAAAGACAAAAAATTATTAAAAACATAGAAATCTTGTAAAAAAAACATTTGGGTGCATCTTTAATATTATGTATTCATCATATTTAACAAAAACAAGTGTGATGGATAATAGTTATATTTATTAATGATAGAAATATAATTAAAAACTAAACTAACTTAAAAACAAATTTGTTTTTACATCTAATTAATGATCAATGGTCCATAGGGAGGCAAATTAGGTGGGCTTAACTCAAACTGGAATCAACCTAACTCGTAATTTTAGACAAGCTAATTTCAATTTTTGATCATCAACTTGGGTCTAGGCTTAAGTTCAAAAGTTTGGACTTTTTTATTTTTTGGGTTGGGCCCAAGCCTATCCCTTAAGTAGCTAATACATATATAGCACATATTTGCATACATGCATGTATATACAATTATACACATATATTTTATGACATTTTGTCATGATGTCATAATTAAATAATAAAGATTTAAAATATATATATAAAAAAACAAAAATTTAAAAAAATACATAAAATTTATAGAAAATTTTGAAATATCTAAAATATTATACTTATCATATCAAACAAAAATAAGTGTGATAAAAAAGAATTATAATTATTAATGTTATTTGGCATTACCACACGCACGTGCATATTTACTAGTACTGAATATATATATTAGAACTTCTGACACACTTACCGCTTATAAACAATAAGCATGACCCATATGACCTGTACTGAAGAGGTGAGAGCAAGCTCTTTCAAGAATCAAAGCTTATGCTGATGTACTTATTAGCAATTGGTGTACTGGAACTGGAGGTTGTTCACATGTTCGATGTCTATGCAGTGTTACGTATCAATTTTGTTTTGGATGGAGTTGAGCATGGGATGTCATGTAATGGGATATATTATAATTATTTTAGTATTAATTATTATGGATAAATGGGTAGTTAGCTGGAAATAGAGTAGGATTAGGAATTTGGTGTCGTATCATAGAGAGATAATAGGAAGTGGTTATGTGAAGAGACAAGTTGAAAGTATGTGTGGTGTGCAATGTGGGTGGTTAATGAGAGTCCGGATCTCTTGCCCACGTTTGTTGCAGCCATACATGGAGAATATCTCATCCTTTGCATAGTATTATGCAGGGGGAGATATTCCTAATTCACTGGGGTAGTGTGTTGTGGGTAGACGTGGGCAGGAGATCCAAACTCGGTTAATGAGTAATAATAGATTAGTGAGATTTGATCACAATATGTTGGGGTCTCTTGAGTTTATTGTTTCTATATGAATAAGGGTAAATGACTTAAATATACCTCGAGTTTTCATCAATTGATTTAATCCTATCCTGAGTTTTTCATAAATACTTAAATATACCTTGTAGGCTAATCCTATTGGACTTAAACATACCCTTCATGGATGAAAAGTCACATGTGAATTGAAGGTTATTTAAAATTTTAAAAATCCTATTTTTCCCTTTTGGGTAGGAAGAAGAAGAAAAAACATGGGAAGAGAGAAGAGAAAAAAAAAAAAGGATGACCAATGGTTTGGTTCAGTTAACGGAGAAAGAAAGAACATGAATGTGATTTTAACTTGGCTTGGCAAACATGAACCCAACTATCCATCTTTGATAATGCAAAGATATTTATACAGAAAATTGGAGAAGCTTGGGTCTGGTTTAGGCTACAACCAGTGAGTCAAAGAGCCTAGAATTTCTCCTCTAAATGCATACATCAATGTTTTAAAAACTCACCCGGAACCAGAACTGCCTTGGCCACCGGTTTCTGGGTCTGCGGTTCAACCATCCAATTCAAAGGGACAGCCTGTTTCAATTAAAAAAATAAAAATGGCCAAAACCATTGTTAGGCTCAAACGGGTCAGCGGTTCAACCACCCGAGTCAGCAGGTTCCTGACCAAGTTTTTGGTAAATTCTCTTAAGATAACAAAAATTAGTTTTTGGTAATTTGGAAATTAATTTTGGTAAATTGTTTTGTTAGATTTCACAATTAATATTGACAAATTAGGTAATTTATTTTGGCAAATGAATTTTTGTAACTTTGGTAAATTAATAACATTTAGAAAAAATAATTTCGGTAAATTCAGTTTGCTTAACTTTGGTAAATTAATAATTTACAAAAAAAAAATACTAATGAATTTTGATGGATTAATTTTGTCAGTTTTGTTAAATTCCCAAAAATTAATTTCACTAAATTAATTTTGATTTATTTATTAAATTAAAGATTAACCAAAAAATATTTTTTCTAATTCATTAATGAATAATTTTGTTAAGGGTTTATTAATTTTGGTGAATTACTAATTTAAGAAAGTGAAGTAATTAAGCTAATTTTGGTGATTAATTTTGTTACATGGAAAATTAAATTTGTGATCGATTTTGTTATATTAATTTTGGTAATTTCATATATTAGTTTTCCTAAATATTTTAATTTTTGGTAAATAAATTTTGATAATATTGCTAATTTTTGGTAGTTTAATTATTGTAATTTTGGTTTTTTGGAAAATTAATTTATGGTAATTTAGGTAAATTAGTTTTGGAAAATTTGTTAACTTTTTGTATATTCCCATAACTAATTTCACTAAATTAATTTTTATTTATTTTGGTAAATTAAGAATTAACCAAAGATTATTATTTTTTCTAATCTATGAATAAATAATTTTGGGAATTTTGGGAATATTAGTTTATTATTTTTGGTGAACTATTAATTTCCTAATATAAAGTAATTTTGACAATTTTGGTAATTTTTGTACTTTAATTTTGTTATATGGAAAATTAAATTTATGATTCATTTTATTATTTAAATTTTGGAAATTTTGTATGTTAATTTTCCTAAAAATTTTAATTGTTGATAAATAAATTTTCATAATGTTGGCAATTTAATTATTGTAATTTTAGTTATTTGGGAAATTGATTTTGGTAATTAAGGTAAATAACTTTTTATAATTTTGGTAACTTAGGTGAATCTAATAATTAATGAATACAACATAGGAAAATTGTTGCTCTCATTACAAACTTATTTTTTATTCAATCAACTACACAAAACCATGTTTCTCATACTCTTGATAAGCAAATTTTGGGTATGGAGAATTTCATTTAAACTATAACTTTTTTTTTATTATTTTGATAAGAGACCTACCACATCATCCATTTTCATCTAAAGACGTTAAAATCATCAAACTATTTATATAAAATATGTCAATGAACTAAAGATATTATATGATATGCCCATTTGGAACCTTTTACTTCAATTTTTCTTGACAATGCCCATGCATGGCATGAGGCCTGACTTGTACTAATTTATATAGCAGTTCCGACTCCCGAGATGAGATGTATGCAATTTGGTGGAAGTGCCAATCCCACTATCAACAGCCAACGAACACGTCTTCATTGCTTCAGATAAACAATTAAACAACTCGTGCAAGGAAGAAAGTTTACACGCTTTAAACATGTAACTATTCCACCACTGCCAAATTCAGAAGGAAATGGGAGCCAATCGGTCAATATATGAAGCCAATTTATGGGTTGGTTCCAAGTTGACAAAATTAGACAGCAATCGAACTGTTCAATTATTTAAAAAGAGATGCATTGTTCTGGCTCCTCGTACTCTTTCCTTTTTCTCTTCTTGTGCAGATGACTTAAATTTAAAGGAGCACGGAAGGATAACAGATGGAAGAACTGGAACCGGAGGTCAGTAGGGGATGTGATGTTAATGGTGCTTCCTTTATGCATTCTGGAAAAGCAGCATGAGTACTATCAAGGCTTCAGGCATGGTTCAGTGCCCAGCTTCATGTCTAGCCATCTTCAATATCTTTGCAGGAGCTTGCAATTGTGTCAGATAGGGTTCATATGCTAGGATTCCTCACAAGGTTTTTTTTCTTTTCTTTCCTTTGAAAATTTGGCAATGTCTCCACTATTCTCTTTCCTTTTCCCCAACTTGTATAATCTCAACATCAACAGAACAGTGTGCCCTTCTGCCATATATCTGATCTGGCTTCCAAATATGCACAAAGAATACAAAGATTTATCACACGGAATGTTATTGTTTTATACTTCAGGTATTTACCCATCAAAGAAAGGAAAATGAACAATAAATTGTTGTTTTGTACTAACCTATTAATCAAAAGGATTTACAGGTGTGCTCACGATCTTTTTTCTATTCATCTCTGCTCATTCTTCTCACAAAAGGGACGAAGTTATTCCAGTTCTCAGCCCTGAAAATTTTATCATTCATACGGAAATAAGTAAATGATCGTACAGCTTCTGCCTGGGGATGATTACAATTCGCAATTATTTGCCACAATCCAGCCTGCAAGAACAAAACACATTAAGACTGCATTTGGCATGTTTTCAGAGAATTGATTCTGGTGAATTTTGTGGTTCTAATAATCAATTTTAAGTTTCAATGAATGAGAATTGCTGGAACCTTTTTTTGGCTCAAAACTAATTCTAAGGATTGATTCTTTTAAGCTTAAAAACTTAGCTTAAAAAAAAGGATAATTTTTTGTTCAAAAATCAAAACTCATTCTTCAAATAGTGATTCTTTGGAGCAGAATTTTTACCGGATGTTAAGAGAATCCAACAGAGGCTGGACAAAGCTAGGATAAGCTCAAACTAGCTTAATGGCTTTTCATGGTTTGAACAACTGTATGAAAGAGAGATCATGCAATAGGCCAATAGCCTATGTTTTTGGCAGCTCCAATAAATTTTCAGTTTAAATGGGCAAAAATAGATAACAAAAAAAAATATTGTTCTAGATTTTGCAAAAACAGAAGTTTTGGGGGACAAAGTTTGTTACAATGGAAAAATCCCAGGCTGACAAGTGTGAGAAGATGGGTTCAAATCTGAGAGTAGCAAGTGTGTGCAAACAGAAAAAATGCCAAAGGTTAGTTAGATATGTATCTACTCTAGCCTTGCTAGGACCCTGGATTTCCAGGATATCATTGGGATTATTCAACATTGAACAGTACGCTTAGGAGGTCAGTGCCACACCAAACAGCAGTCAAGATAGGGGGTTTGTGCATCTGCTTTTACATGGTCCTCATCTTGTAACAATGTAGGACCATGTAAAAGCATTCTAAGCAATAAACAACATGAGAATATAAACTTCTTTGAAAGAACAGGTACCATTTTTCAACGGGTTGTGTCAAAATTAACAATTTAAGGAGACTTGGTCTTCACTTTTCAATTAGTAAATGATGGCAATGATGATTTGACCAGAAAATGTCCTTGTAACAAAAATTATTCCACTTGCAAATTCAGGTAAAAAGAATTGAAGAGAACTCAGGAAGTGAACAATGGTAAAATACCTTGTCAAACCTCTCGTTGGCATTTCTCCCAGTTAAGTGTATTTCCCTCTTCTTTGAAATTGATCGCATCTGGGTTAGATAAATGTAATTAAATGCAATGTTGAAGAAATATGTAAAATAGGATAAGCATACGAGCAATATAAATTAGCATGTAGTTTCCAATGAAACAAACTGTAAAGAATATAATCCATCTGCTTGTGAAAATCAACTAAATGAACCCCTCATTTACGTCAATCCAGAAATCATTGAATACTGTAGCAGACTCGCTAGTAGGGGAGTTGATAGGGTTGATTTCTATTGGGAGTCTGTGCCACAGGAATAGTGCAATGAAATTTGTAATGACTTTTTCGGGGTATATGTTTTCTTTTTGGCAATTAGCTAGCTTTCTGTGACTAGCTTTGTTTGTTCTCTGCAGCTGAGTTCTATCTCTTGTACTCCTTCCTTTTGGGGGTATATCTTTTCCTTTTGGCAATTAGTTAGCTTTCTGTGATTAGCTTTGTTTGTTCTCTGCAACTGAGACTTTCCATCTCTTGTACTCCTTTCTTTAATAAAATCTTATTGATCTGCTATAGGGGCCATTGCTTGATGGTCTAAAGGTCAAATTTGGGCTGACAAGTGTGTGAACATGGGTTCAAGCCTGAGAACAGCCACTTTGTGCCAAAAAAAAAGTATGCTAAAAGGCTAGGTCTACATCCAATCCACCCCTCCCAAGATCCCAGATAGCTAGGGCCAACAATTGAGTAGTGGCCTTTTTTTGGATGGACTGGATACAGACCTAACCTTTGGCTTTTTGGCACAAAGTAGCTGCTATCAGCCCAAGGTTTTGCCATTACAACGAGCCATAGCCGCTATCTATTATCAACACAAAACTATTAAATTTTAAATCACCAGTCACTACAAAGAAAAAGTTGGTTTACAAAAAGTACCAGTTGAATTTAACTGCAAAATGAGATCATCCAAATCTTCAAAGATAAATTGTGAGGTTGGTATTCTGCTTATGGACCAAGCAGAACCAGGAACCTATTTAGACATGATTTTTACATACGGCAGCTGAACCAGAAGCTCAATATAAATCAAAATGTTTTTCCAGAACAACTATAAGCTGGGATGAACCAGACTTTCCACATTAATCCACTCAGTGGAAACCTCCATTGTTGCCGCAGAGAGAATAGAACATATTTCCACATGGACAGATTGTATATATTATGTCGCTACCCTACTTATTCTCAAAGCCTGCAGCAAAAAACAAGATACCTTTGTTTCTAAAAGGTTTTGAATACCAAGCAAGTGATCTGAGAATCCTAACTTGTGTGCAAGTCATTAATGTCTCTACAAAGAAGCTGTCCATGCTTCTCCTAAGCATTATCTTCCATTTTATTTCATTCACTTTTGGTGAAAATAAACTTGAGAAGACTAGATTCAGTGATGATTAAGGTTGTTATTTTGGATGATGGCACTGTGGCTTTGGCCATCCTGATGGCCATGGTGGTTTAGGTGGCGGTAGCAGTTTTGGAGGTGGAGCTGGGCATGGTAGAGTATTTGGTGATGAAGGAGGTGTTAGAGGTGGTGGTGGTGCTGGGGGAGGGTCAGGTCATGGTGGAGGATTTGGGGATGGGGTGGTATATGTGCTGGTGCAGGGGGGAGGTGTCGGTGGAGGGGTGGTTTTGGAGGTGTAGGTGGTGGCTCAGGTCATAGAAGAGGATTTGATGCTGGTGGGGGATGTAGGTGGTGGTGCTGGGGGAGTTGGAAGTAGTGGATTTCATAGAGGTGGAGGCAGCGGCACAGGTGCATGTTCCAGTCATGGAGGAGAGCTGACAGTGGTGTAGGTGGTGGCACAGGAGGTGGTTTTGGTGACGGTGGAGGAGGCAGTGCAGGTGGTGGATCAGTCATGGTGGTTGTTGGGAGCTGATGGTGGTGGTGATGTTGCTGGAGGAGGCAATGGAGGTGGGGGCTTTGGTGGCAGGGGAGGTGGTGTGCTGGTGGAGGATCAGGTTACAGAGGTGGTTTTGGTGCAGGTGGTGGAAGATTTGGTGGCAGTGGTGGGGGTGTCATTGGTGGTGGTGTGGGTGGAGGTGCTAGTGTTGGTGCTGGTGCGGGTGGGTGCTAGTGTTGGTGCTGGTGCGGGTGTTGGTGCTAGTGTTGGTGCTGGTGCGGGTGGAGGATTAGGTGGAAGTCAAGGAGATGGAGAGGGCCATGGTATTGGTGGAGGGTTTCGAATAGAAATTGGTGTTGGTGTTAGAGTAGAAGTTGGTGCCAGACAGGGAGCTGGTGGGTGGATCAGGAGGAGGTCAAGAAGCTGGTGGGGGTCATGGTATCAATGGAGAGTTTGGAATAGGAATTGGTGGTGTTAGAGTAGGAGTTGGTGCCACTTCCAGCTGGGGAGCTGGTGGTGGATCTGGGGATGGTGTGTGGTAGATGCCGAAACCTGTTTTGTGTCCTAAAGTTTAATACAAAATTAGTTCTTAAGTTGTAAACAGTGCAAAGTTTGTTAAACTTAACAGCCAAGGACTGTTAAGAGAGCTTCATAAAAAGTATTGTTACTGTCGGTAATGAAGGAGTATCAGTCATTCTGAGTTTCCAAGACATTTGGTAGTGTTAAACTAATTAATGCTATGTTTATAAAAAAAAAATTTGAATACTCAAACTCAATAACTCTAATTGGAAAAATCGTGGAAAAACTGGACAGAAAATTTGTGAGGCATATGAATATGGTCATGATGTCATCAACACTTGTACGTAAGTAGTATGGTGTTTTTTCCTCTTTTTCCCATTGTTTCTGATCCAGGATGAATCACCTTAATCATTGACTGATTTCCCCAGGTTTCTCTTGAAGAAGACAACAGAAGTCTGAAACAAAAGATTTATATAGAATAATAATGTAAGACAAAAAGAAAAACAGTACAAAAACTACAAAGACCAGAGGAAGGTTATGAACCGATGATTTACATAATTTGATCAATGTAAATGTCTACTTATAGATCTATTGGAAAGTCTTGACTTATTAGTATGTTTCATTAGTCAGGCCTCTGTAAATGCCAAATAAAGAACTAAAATATCAGTGTGGTAATTAGATCAAACAACGAAGGATTTTAAATAGGAAGAAAAAAAAGAAAAAAGAAACAAGGAACTGGATTGGCAACCTGCTATCCTCCAACATATAGAACAATTTGGCCAAAATACAATGTGCTATATGATAAATATTAAACCAAAATATTTAATTAATTGTATGTGAACCTGGAGGATTTACCTAAAGCAAGATGCCAACTAGAGAAAGTACTGCATAATTACTTTTAAGTGAAACTATGAGAACAATAGAACATTACCAAAGATACAGCCCAATCTATATGAGGGGGCTTCATGCAGACATGGACTGAGAAAGTCTAGGCACCACTGCACCTGAAGTGAGTTTTGTCTAATTTGAACCAACCTTCATAAGTGGAGCAGCATTGGAACTGTTTGAAGAAAATTTTAAGATGACCAATTCAAGAAGTGGTTCTAGTGTTTTTTTTTCAAGGAGTGGTTCAAGTTCAGTCCACAAGTATAAAACGCGTGCCAAAGTCAAGGTCTTTAAAAGACTTAAGTTGGCCTCTTTGTCAACAATAAAATAAAATTCTTGCATCATAGCCAAAATCTTTTATCCAAATAAATCCTAATGCATTCCATAGAAATTTCATGACCAAAATTTCAGATATATTGCCAATTATTTCTAGCTTTCATATACTTGTCATTCTCTTAATTCTTTTTAGACCTTGAAATCTATCATATTACATAACATTCAAATAAAAAGCTCAGATGAGATTTTTTATTTTAACAAAATGAATGTATTTTATTCTTCACATATTCCCCAATGTTTTAGAGATGCCATTAAAAGTAATTCAGCACAAGTGGCTTCACTTTTCATTTCCTAATCCATAACCAAAAATAAAGTCATGTTATAGAGCCCATAATACAAATGCAGGAGTAGCCCATTCTCAGCCAGCCTAATCTTAGGTTACTTCAGAAGCAACCCAAATAAGGCCTCCTATTAAGCACATGTACACGAGTAGACCTGTTTACGGGGTTGGGCTTTTGTCTCTATATTAAAACAACACATTCAGGCCCGAGCCCGGCCCAACCATCGGGCCTAGATCTTGAGCCCGAGGCCAGCCCTCATATAAATCCCAAAGCCCGGCCAGGAAATTGGGAAAGAATTTTTTTTCTTTTTTTTTACTTAATAAGAAAAGTGATTTATTTAAATCAAAAGACCTCAGAATCCAAAAATCATGAAATATCCCACTATGGTTTGAGAAAAGAGAAGAGGAACAAAGAAAACCTAACATGGACTTGTTTAAGAAAATCATTTTGTCGGTAAATTAGGAAAGTTAGGATTTGATTGTTAGAGATTTGAATAAATTTAGGAAAGTCATATCCTAGGATTAAGGGAAAGAATTARTCAATCCCTGATTGTGAGAGATTCTAGGGTTAGCCTTTCCTATCTTTTCTTATTTAAGTTGTATGCTCAATGTGTTTTAGATGTGAACAAAGAAAATATTTTCTCCTTTCTCTCCCTCTATATTTCGCTACATGGTATCAGAGCCTTAGGGTTCGATCATGAATTTTAAGGCCGCCATGGTTGGCTCCGGTTCAGCCTCTTCGGATGCTACCAACTGTGTGACGTCTTCGGAGGGAGGTGTTCAGCCAACGGCTATTTCTCTTTCTGAGAATTCTCTTCAAATTACCATTCACAAATTGAATGGCAAAAATTATCTTGAGTGGTCTCAGTCCGTGCGGTTGGTGATCGACGGCAAAGGGAAACTCGGCTATTTGAACGGCAAAGTGAAACCGCCAGCCACTGATGATCCAAAGTACAGGCAGTGGCATTCCAAAAATTCGATGGTTACCGCTTGGTTGATCAACTCTATGGATCCGGTGGTTGGAAAACCATTCATGTTCCTGCCGACGGCTCGCGATGTGTGGGAAGCAGTTAGGGAAACCTATTCGGATTTGGACAATCATTCACAATTGTTCGAATTGAATACCCGAATGTGGAAGATGCAGCAAGGTGAACATGAAGTAATAGCTTATTATAATGAGATGATGGCTGTTTGGTAGGAGTTGGATTTATTTGAAGAAGAAGAATGGGAAAGTCCGAGTGACAGTGCTCGGTACAAGAAGAAGATAGAAAGAGGCCGGGTATTTGTTTTCTTGGCTGGTTTGAATAAAGAACTCGATGAGGTTCGAGGACGTATCTTAGGGTGAAAGCCCTTGCCGACTATGAGAGAAGCTTTTTCGGAAGTGCGTAGAGAAGAAGCACGGCGGCAAGTGATGTTGAAGAATGTTAGTGAAACAAAAACAGAGAATGAGGAGGGGTCTGCTCTTGTGGCCCGAGGTGTAGACTTAGAAGGAGATAGACGAGGAGGAAAGCAGAGGCCTTGGTGTGACCATTGTAGAAAGTCGTGGCATACTCGGGAAACCTGCTGGAAGCTGCACGGGAAACTGGCGGATTGGAAGAAAAAACCAGGCAGTGACAACAAGTCAGGGGGAGATGTCCGTGTGTTTCAAGTGAGCAATTTGGATCCAAGGCAGCAATCATCCTCAGAGTCTCTTCCTTTCACAAAGGAACAAATAGAGCACTTATATAAAATGTTTCAATCTCAATCTTTAGGAAATTCTAACCCATCCTGTTCTCTAGCTCAGTCAGGTAATTTTTTCACTGCAGCCATTGCTTGTACCAAGTCTAATGGCTCCTGGATATTAGATTCAGGTGCCACTGATCATATGACCGGCACTTCGCAATTCTTTTCTTCATATACACCTTGTGCAAGGA